GGGGGGGGGGGGGGGGGGCGGGGGGGGGGGGGGGGGGGGGGGGGGGGGGGGGGGGGCGAGGCTTTATCCGCGGTCATTGCGTGGGGCGTGGGTGGTACTATGGAAATGGACCAAGAGGAGGGGGTCAGGAAGTTCACGAGCGCTGCGACAACCACTAACGATCGCCACACTGAGCCTTCGGGTTAATGCCGTACGAAAGATTACAATTTTGTAAACCAACAAAACAATACTACTCCCTCCCACAGAGACGCAGGGGATTGCGTTGGCACCGAACAGCAAACCTGACATGCGCTTGGTGTTCTTCACCTCAGGCTACAGGCAAATCGTACTTGCCCTCAACACAAGACGGTGCGCGAGTGGCAACGAACACACGGGCCCGGAAGGAGAGACCACGAGAGGCTTCGATGTCCACCCATCGATACTGTGGAGACGATGTCGGACCGATTTTCACGAACATCACGACGATAGCGTCCACAAACCAGCTGCGAAATGCAAAACGCATGCATGCAATGCATAGACTAGTCTACGTATCAATGCATATATGCATACGTTTATTTGCTTCTCGGTTCGCATACAAAACACATCGGCACACAATTTGCTACTGTAAAAATTTGTGCGTGGGGCATGTTTTTTTTTCCTGGTATTGGTACATGCAAAACCAGACAACGCGATCAGATTGTATCAACCCGCACCTGCTTGTAGAGATCAGAGCAATCCCCGCTGAGTTCCTCTCCTACAGGCGTCACAGCGCTGAAGTCGGCCGCCACTTGGGCTTCCTCATCGTCCGTGCAGCAAGCGCCGTACGCCGCGATCGAGTTGTTGCAGAAGGTCAAGACCTGTTGTGCCAACGGAAAAAAGTTTGGTGGTACATGAGCAGCTACTCTAGTTGCAGTTGGCACCGGATATTCAGGCAGCTTGTGAAGTTACAGTCGTGGTAATCTCGACCGGGAACTCTGTGCTCTCTTACAGATTATTGTTGTGTCGAAGATTGAAGTGCATCGTAATTACATGAGCAAACACCGAGTTATTACCTGGTCATAATCTGTCGGTCTGTCGTCGAAAAAGCAGAGAGGGTGCGACGACACCACCTTGGTGCTAACCAGCGCGGCTAGACACGCGAAGGCACGCATCATCATGTCGCCTGCTGCTGGCTCTACTCGGGTCGAGAGTCGGAGCAGCAGTAGCGGCAGAGCGCGAGAGATGATGCCCACACAGCGGCCGTCAGGCAGCGGGTTCTGGGTGTAGACGGAGGGAAAAACGAAGGCGTCGATACGAGATGTGTTGAGTGAGTGAGTGGGGGACTGATGATGCGGGGTATATGCGTAGGTTTGTAGGTTGGCTTACATTGTGACCTGACAACAACATGCCGTAAGATGTTTCCCCCGCCGAAGATAGAACTTTCTCACTGGCTCTCTGAGCCCTCCGTTCCTGTCCGTTTCGGCTCTCAGAACTCTCACAGAATTGCAGCTGCGTTATCGTCTCTCCGAGAGCCGTTGAAGATTTTTCTGCTGCGATTTCATTCAGCCCCGCTTTTCGTTTCTGCTTCTGTCTCGTCCTCTCTCGGAAACCTCTGCCCCATTCACCCATTAACAGTTCACCACAGCAGTCTCAGACCGCATACTACATGCAGTATATTATCCGCAAGTATGTCCGGGACATTCCATGGGGCTTTCTGTTCTGTTCCGTTTTCGGCGTATCATGTATTTTCTGCCCTTGTCGGTCTGTGTCTGCATCGGTATGTCCCGCGAAACCTCGCCCCTACCCACCCATTCACAGCAGTTCACCTCACGGCAGCAGTTTCTCCATGTCTCTCGCCTCTCTAAGACACGCCCTCAGATACATACGTCCAGCACTACAGCAGTAGTAAGTGTCACTGCTGCTTACAAAAAAGTTTGTCCGGCAGAATATTTAATTCTCGCCTTGCCTTGCATCTATTTACGCATGCACAGGGCTCTCTCTCCTTCCGTTCCACTCTACTCCATGACATTTCGTCTGTCTGTCTCTGCATCTGTCTGGCCCGCTCGCGGAAAACTCTCCCCCATCAATCAATTCACATTTCCACATCGCAGTCTCTCTCTCTCTCGGCTCTCACATACCTGGGCGCGCGGAAATCTGCCCTTGGGGGGAAGGAGCCGACCCGCCTGCCCTCAAAAAGCCTCCGGAACCTCTCTGCACAGACCCACAATTTTGAAAGTCCCCTGCCCGTGCAGCCGCGCAGCAGACACGTTGCTACCATTGGCTCATTTACCACAAAGCAGTAGCAGTGTTGAGTTGTGGGGGCGTGGGGGCGTCATTTGATACAGAGAGGGGGGGTGGTGTTCATCATGATAATATAGCGATTATCATCATCATGAATGCTGCCCGCACCTCATCAATGCGACCCGCACCTCAAATGCACGCGGCCCGCACACTCCGCACGGGGGCACGGCCCACATAGGGATGCCTGGAAAGATCCAAAATGGGGGCCGCAGGAATGAAGTACAGTCGACACCCGCTCGCATATGGTTTTTCCCGAAAGAAGCGTCCTGTAGCGGGGTTGGTTGTGTCCTTAAATATCAGGGGACGATGGCTCACCATCCCCGGGGTCAATGAAGGCATGCTATACCTCAAACTACGCGTTTTTTGCTAAGGGAGAGTTTGGTACGAAAAGTCAGCATCGCCGAGACGAATGGTAACCGTTTGTTGGCGTCGAACATATTTACAACCCTTGAATGAGACGTACAGCAGTCGGGGACGTGTTTAACTCAACCACAGACAGCACACAAGTTTGAACTTGGCCAACTCATGTACTGCTTCGCTGGCAGCGGAACAAGGAGGAAAGTAGAAATATTTTCTCGTGAAACACAACGAAAACGAGCGTATTTCAGCGTCGCACCGAGGAACACCAGCACATGTAACTGTCCCGGCGGAGACCAAGCTACCCTGACGGCTTTTCCCTCCACATATCGCGAAGAGTTCCCTCACCTCCCCCCGCCGCTTGGCTCTACCGCTCTGTTCAGTTTCATGAGTAAAATAATGAACGGTCTTCGAAATAAGGTACTGCGTTTCACGGTACTCGCCACCCCTTCCCTTCGCGTACATATAGGATCGAACGTCCTCCAAGCGAGAGACAACCTTGCCCTCGGTGAGAGACGAGGATATGCACGACTCCGGCCTGCCGTCGCCGTCGCCCTCTTCGCTCGATACGTCGTCGTCCATTTCTAAGCCGGCGAGATCCCTCTCTACTGCCTGCAGTTCCAACTCCACCGCCTCTTCGAACACCTCGGGGTCGTCCTCTACCGAAAGCCACGTCTTGACCGCCGTTCGGACTTCCTGCTCTGTGAGGTCTGCGCCCGTCTCGACAAACAAATTGTCCGTCAACACTCGCGGCATGGACCCATGGTCCGTTACGCTAGCTGGCATCGACATTTTTGAGACCATGTCACAAAGGCCATCGATGATTGCCGCGTTGTCCTTGTCCTCTCGGTCAAGCCGCGTGTCCATGCCCTTGAGAACGTTGCAGTGCTCCCTGGGAAGGATGCCAGCCTTGAGCCAGCACCTGATGACCGTCTGAACGTCGAAGCTACGCCACTTCTGGGAACAGATCTCCGTGACGTCCAGCATTGTCGCCTGTCCTGCATCGCTGAGGCCGCGGCACCCTCTGCCGAAACGAAACTCAGGGACGGATGAAAGGGCTAATGTTGAAACCAGCTCGACGAAAAGGTTGCAAGAAGACCATTTTCAGAGCCTTCGCAAGACCTGCGACGACGGTAACAAAGAAGCGCCTCTACATTGTTGTTTTTGATTCACTTTTTCGTGCACGGACGGTGTCCCAGTCCTCCATGAGGTCTGCCAGCCTTGCCACCATCTCGGTCTTGTACTGGCACTTGAGTACAAACAGGATGCTCATGTCCATGGGCTGGTAGACAGAATTGACGTACGGAGGCAAGAAGTTGATGACGATATGCGGGTCGTTGCTTTTGATCTTGTGGCCGGGGCAGTTGTCCCACAAGAAGGCCACCTTCTTGGAGGTCTTGCCTTATACAAAGGGGACAAAGACTGCGTCAAACCACCGCTGGCAAATGGCTATGTCGAGCCAGGCACTCTCCTGGGCGAAGTAGGGGCATGGCGGTTTGCGGACCTGGCGGAAAACCATCGGTTTTTTCGACGTGCTGATGACGGCCAACGGCGCCATCTGAGACCCGGTCGTATTGCAGCAGGCGACCACCGTGCACCGATCCTTGGCATTCATGGCCTTCGAACCCCGCGCGGTTTTGCTGTTGACGCCGGCGGCGGCCTCCCCCCTCGTGACGCGTGTACCTCTCGGGAAGCAGCGGAAGAAAAGTCCCGTCTCGTCCATGTTACAAATGAACTCGACGTCGAACTCCTGCAGCTGCTCACGAATCCTCTCGAACTCCTCTGCCACTTTCTGCTTGTCCACGTCGCCAGCTTCTCCGTGCAATTGGACGTGAGTGAAGCTGTAGCGTTTCAGGAAGCGATGTAGCCAGCCGTTGGTCGCCTTGAAGTTGGTCTTCCCCATCTGCGCCGCGATCTTCAAGGCCTGGGCCTGGATCATCGAACCACTCACGCCGGGTTGCCTGCGTCGGGCAAGACATAAACAAAAACAGCAGCGACATGGTTTCGATCAACTCTCCCTTGAATTGATTGTGCGTTCGGTCAGCCAGCTTGAAACAGGTGGGCTAGAGCTTGTCGAATCCCCAACCCAGCAGCTTGGTCGAGAGTGGGAGGAGGTGTAGGGGCGGAAGGTTATAGGCGTATAGGCAACCAAGTTGTATCCTGACCAACACATGACTAATGCAAAATGTGTACTTACGTCAAAGCGTGCTCGTGCGATCTTGATCCACTTGCGTAGTTTCTCTTCCACTTCGTCGTGTACCGGCCTCGGGGCGCGAAGGGCGTCCTGATTGAGCTCCATGTCGCGGATTTTCTTGAGCTCAGCGATTTTCTCCGGGTTCATGAACTTGCTCGTGTACCAAGTACCGACGCTCCACTTTGCAGCAACCATGCTCCTCTTAGTCCCCCCCTGGACCTCCTTGACAATCCGCAATCGCTGCGTCATCGATAACTTGTTTTTGCCGGTGTTCCGTCCGGGCTTGGACACCCGGACTTCTTTGGCGACACTACCTGTGCCGTCCCCCGCGGCACCTCCGCCGCCTCCCCACGTGGCATCTCCGCCGCCCCCCCCCGCAGCGCCTCCGCCGCCTAGCCCCGCGGCACCTGCGCCGCCCCCACCCGTGGTGCGTTGAATCCGTTTCCCCTTCCTTGCAGTTTCTGACTCTTTGCCCGCAGCCAGTTGCCTCGTCCTGCGCGGCAAATTTTGCAAGAGACGAGGGAATTGTGACATGTCAGAGCACGTTGGCAAATACACCCACGTGAGAAAAAATGCCGTTGTGCCCAACACAACATGCGTTATTTCCGGAGAACGAGAGTGCTCGCACTTACCGCCGAGAGACTGCACGCAGGCCAGCAGCTACAATTTACGCTGAATAAACATAAGACAAAAGAATATCACAATTGCGTCTATTGTGTAGTCTATGTCTTTCAAGTGCGAACCGTAAACACCAGCGTCCTCCGAACGTACAAAAGTTCACTTTCTATCAGCGTTGAACAACGAGAATCACTTCGGCAGCGTGGCATGCGAACTGCTTCACGCAGCACGCAGCACGGTCGATGCAAATAATAAAAACACACACGCACCCTTGTGCGGACGATCTCAGTGAATTTTCCTGGCATGCTGACACTGCTGTTGTTTCAGGGGAATTAGACGAGGGCAAGGACATGCAATGTACATGTAACACCGTGGTGCACGCTTTCCTGCTCAACAGCTCAACAGCACGCGTTCGGCCGATGGCTGCTGCTGCTGCTGCTGCTGCTGCTGCTGCTGCTGCTGCTGTCCACCTCGATGGGACTTACGCCGGTGCCGATCTTGCCTGCAGTCGTTCTCCTCTGACAATCTGTGCACTCTCTCTGCTGCCCGAAGCCTTCGTCACCGATTCCTCCGCCACAGAAGCCATGCATCGGCCGGCCGCATGGGCACTTGTGGACTGCGGTGATCAGTAGAGATCTCATCGCACACGTTGGTTCTCCACATGTTTTTTTAGCGGCATCAGATGGACCGTCGGTAGATGGGATGAATCTATCCATATCAACACCCCGTTACAGCTGTAGCAGCAGACCGCTCGCTACTTCTTCTGCTGTCTGTGCGTCGATACTTCTGCACTCACTACTGTGGTGCGTCGTGCGTGCAAAGCAGAAGATTACAGAGACAGAGGCGTTGAATCTGAGTTTTGTGAGGAGCGGAAGATGAACTATCTGTTGGTCAATCAGAGAGCAGCAGCATGGAGTCAGCATGAAGTGTCTGAAACCTGACCAGAAGAGTAGACTTGGGAGCACTTGTTGGTCTGCCCCAAGGAAGCACGAGGGAGGCTGCTGCAGCCAAGAGGTATTTCGGAGGTCTATTTCTTTGTGCTGATCTCTTCCCGCGGGCAGGAGATCGTGCGAGTCGTGTGGCGCGGGCGTCTGGGAGGATTCATCTATCGGTTGGAACTGGAGGTTGGAATCTTGGTNGCAGCCAAGAGGTATTTCGGAGGAGATCTATTTCTTTGGAGGAGATCTACTTGGCGCGGGCTGCTGGGGGCATTCACATATCGGTTGGAACGGGAGGTTTGAATCTTGGCGGCTCTCGGTTGCATCAAATTTGGGCCATGTCATCCGAGCACAAGTCGCCGGAGACGGAAGAGCGCCTTGGTGTCGTCCGCAGTGAAGGATCTACTGGCGGTCAGGTCGAGTCGGCGTTGGGGACGGGAGGGGGTTCGTTTCCCCCGTCTCAGGTTGTGGCGGGCGCTATTGCGGCGGCCGCGAGGGCTGCTGCCAGTTGCGTGGATTCACCAGTAGTAGGCGACGTGGCTTCAACAACGCAATCATCCGCAGATGTTGGTGCTGC